AACCAAACTTCCCTTTCTCTCTAGCTTTTCAAAGACATTTCTGTGGCACAGTAAACCTTTGTTCGGAGGCCACAATAAAATTTGGGAAGGGGAAGTAAAAAGACTACTTAACTAGAACAATTTTTAATTTAAAATGTAGTGTATCGCTTGACCAAAGTAACCAAACCTTGCTTCTTTTATTCAGAGATATAATTCGATGTAGCATCTCGGTTTTAGTGAATATTTAACATTTAATTCAACAAAATGATGTTTTGTTGTGTTTAAGTATGAGTTCAGATTGAATACCAGCAAAACTATGACACTCATCCATTAAATCTAATAGTGTACGTCTTATTGCACTGATTATCTCATTTTCAAGTCACGTCCCTAATATTTTCTTAATGTATTTTCTGAGAGATGTAGGTTTATTGCCACTTGTTATTGGACTGAAAATATGGTAGTCTCACATCATTTGTGTGGTTTAATGTAGTCAGTGATCTGTGCATAGCGCCCTTTATTGACCATTGTTTAAGCGCGTAAAGCTACTCACTCCTTAAAGGCCGCCATCTTACCTAACGAAAGTTGCAATCATCAAGCCACAAGCAGGCCAGAATTATTTTTGCAGGGTTTTAGTTTCCCTGCTGTGCAAGATATTTTGAGTGCATTCATCGTTCTTTCTGGTGATATAACAGAGAGACTGCTAGCTCTTTGGTTTGCCCTTAAATCTTGGGATTGGACCTCAGGTACAGTAGCTGCCAAGCAGATTCGAAGCCTGCGTATTGGTCACCAGCTTGTAGACTGGCGGCGAACCTATCATCGGACTTAACCCTCCGCTGCACAGGACCTATTTTTTCATGTTAATGCTCGGACGCTATCACATGAGTATCAGCTGAACTCACTCCACAGAGCCTACGTTTTACACCCATTGCACCAAGGTGATCGTTTATAGATCACTTCCGTTATAACCACAAAAATGTGACACCCCCAACACAATGAAACTACTCAGACAGTTGTCTACAGCTCAGAAACACATAAGAGAGACCGACCATTGATATAAGACAGGCCCAGGCTTTCCCAGGCACTTTCTTTGTCAATAATCCCTTATCAGCACGTGGTTTAGATATTAACATACAATCCCCATGGGACTTAGCTGGAGGCGGGCTATGGAAAAGAATGAAGCAGCTCAGGGGAAGTCCCCATGTTAAAGGTGGCTAAACTAGGCTGTTCAGCATCTACAGAAATGCAAATTAACAGGAGGTTTTTGCATTTGGCCGAATTTTTTTTTAATTACGTAATTACAAAAGAGGGGATCATGAAAGTAGCCATTCTGATCTACGCAAGTTAACACCTCTAAGTATTCATGTAGGTAGTCGTCCTCTTCCCCATCATACTCATCAGAATCCTCTGGTTTTCGGAAAATCCTCTGGTTTTCGGATGGTTCTTTCTGACCTCCGTGCTCTTGCCCTTGTCAAAGGCCTTTTTGTATTTGAAGTTGGACTTTCCATTGGCAGGTGTCTCTCCAGGTGTCTCTTCGGAGTCAGTGACTGTGGTGAAATCGTAGCTTCACGGAGTGAAGCAACACAGGCAGTCAATTCCTGCAGGCCAGCAGCGATCTGCTTTGATCTCTGATTAGATTACTTTCCGCTATCTTTGACTTGGACTCGTCCTCTGAGGCGGACACAGTACTGATCCTGGGTTGGGGAACACGCTTCTCTTCCAAACTAACAACTACGCTCAGCTTCTCAAGCGATTCTTCATCACTGATGTCTGGATCCTGGAGGTACTGTCTCATCTCTCCCTTAACTTCCAGTGAGACCTATCTTGAGGGACTACATTGATGTGCTCTGTACAAGCATTTTGAATCACGTTAAACACCCCCTTTTGGTGAGTGTCACTCATACTAATTAGACCATTTCAAATCTCGACCGAACCCTGCAAAAATTCAGGAAATTCAGTAGGTGTATAGGACCGTGTCGATGTTTTCCCATGATGCACTGCGATGAAAGACCTCTCCATGGCAACTGCGTGGTGGCACTTTGCATTGTGAATCGCCCGTATACCATTCGCCGTGGCATAGTTTGTGATTAAACAACAGTCCATCATGAGTCTCAAAAAATATTGGTTGTCATAAAACAAGCTCTATCGAAAAAGGGCAGAGGAAGCCATTTGAATAGCCATGCTCAAAAATCTGTTTTTAAAAGTTTTTAAAATTTTAACTCATGGTTATGAGATTGTTTTCATGCCTTCTGTTTGTCGGTTGAGTAGCCATTCCACGAGCAGCGACACCAACGGCAGAAGCGAGATGAATCCCAAGATGACAAAAGCCTTGTCGTAGCTTCCAGTCTTGTCGAATATCCAACCTGAAAAGAAGGCAAGATCAATAAGGGGCGCATCGCTAAGCAAGAAGAGGGGAAGGTTTTGTTTTTAAAACGTATAAGAGAGTGATATTTCCGGAACAGTTTTCACTTTGCCTTCTCTCGTCCCGACCTTGCAGGGCGATGGGAAAGGCAAATTCCCTGCACAAATTTTATGAAATATATTTCAAAAGCTCTTGCAGACGCTCAAAGCATTATCGGCTACTCTCTGTTCTAGTGCGTACCACTAGCAAAAGGATGGTCGACAAAGCTACGTCACTTACAACATTATCTGCCATTTCCAGCAGGTCTGGATGATCAAACCTTTACTCCTAACCCTGCATCCAGCAGCATCCATGCGTGACTGGGAAAGTTTATCATTTGTCATTTTTGCACGTTATGTTTCTTTGAGGCAATAAACCTATTCAAGATCTAATATAGAGTGCCCCNACAGCTAAGAGACACATAAGAGAGACCGGCCATTGATACAAGACAGGCCCAGGCTTTCCAAGGCTTGCCCAGGCACTTTCTTTGTCAATAAACCCTTATCAGCACGTGGTTTAGATATTTACATACAATCCCCATGGGACCTGGCTGGAGGTAGGCTCTGGAAAAGAATGAAGCAGCTCAGGGGAAGTCCCCATGTTAAAGGTGACTAAACTAGGCTGTTCAGCATCTACAGAAATGCAAATTAACAGGAAGTTTTTGTATTTGGCCGATTTTTTTTTAATTACGTAATTACAAAAGAGGGGATCATGAAAGTAGCCATTCTGATCTGCGCAAGTTAACACCTCTAAGTATTCATGTAGGTAGTCGTCCTCTTTCCAATCATACTCATCAGAATCCTCTGGTTTTCGGATGGTTCTTTCTGACCTCCGTGCTCTTGTATACCCAGCAAGAAATGAGACCGAGGGGTACCCCCCCAAAATGTCCAATCCCTATACACATTCCAGACTATTGTTATTTAACACATCCCCCCAAGATGTCTGAAAGGAATTCCCCAGATTCCCGCGAGACAATGACCAACACAAAGCAGGGGAGGTTCTCTCCGTCTCATACCTTACTGCATATGTGCTCTTGCCCTTGTCAAAGGGCCTTTTTGTATTGGAAGTTGGACTTTCCATTGGCAGGTGTCTCCCCAGGTGTCTCTTCGGAGTCAGTGACTGTGGTGAAATCGTAGCTTCACGGAGTGAAGCAACACAGGCAGTCAATTCCTGCAGGCCAGCAGCGATCTGCTTTGATCACTGATTAGATCACTTTCTGCTATCTTTGACTTGGACTCGTCCTCTGAGGCGGACACAGTACTGATCCTGGGTTGGGGGGACACGCTTCTCTTCCAAACTAGCAACTAAGCTCAGCTTCTCAAGCGATTCTTCATCACTGATGTCTGGATCCTTGAGGTACTGTCTCATCTCTCCCTTAACTTCCCGTGAGGCCTATCTTGAGGGACTACATTGATGTGCCCTGTACAAGCATTTCGAATCACGTTAAACACCCCTTTTGGTGAGTGTCACTCGACCGAACCCTGCAAAAATTCAGGGAAATTCAGTAAGTGTATAGGGCCGTATTGATGTTTTCCCATGATGCACTGCGATGAAAAACCTCTCCATGGCAACTGCGTGGTGGCACTCTGCATTGTGAATCGCCCGTATACCATTCGCCGTGGCATAGTTTGTGATTAAACAACAGTCCATCATGAGTCTCAAAAAATATTGGTTGTCATAAAACAAGCTCTATCGAAAAAGGGCAGAGGAAGACATTTGAATAGCCATGCTCAAAAATCTGTTCAAAGTTTTTAAAATTTTAACCCATGGTTATGAGATTGTTTTCAGGCCTTCTGTTTGTCGGTTGAGTAGCCATTCCACGAGCAGCGACACCAACGGCAGAAGCGAGATGAATCCCAAGATGACAAAAGCCTTGTCGTAGCTTCCAGTCTTGTCGAATATCCAACCTGAAAAGAAGGCAAGATCAATAAGGGGCGCATCACTGAGCAAGAAGAGGGGGAGGTTTTGTTTTTAAAACGTATAAGAGAGTGACATTTCCGGAACAGTTTTCACTTTGCCTTCTCTCGTCCCGACCTTGCAGGGCGATGGGAAAGGCAAATTCCCTGCACAAATTTTATGAAATATATTTCACAAGCTATTGCAGACGCACAAAGCATTATCGGTTACTCTCTGTTCTAGTGCGTACCACTAGCAAAAGGATGGTCGACAAAGCTACGTCACTTACAACATTATCTGCCATTTCCAGCAGGTCTGGATGATCCAAACTTTACTCCTAACCCTGCATCCAGCAGCATGCATGCGTGACTGGGAAAGTTTATCATTTGTCATTTTTGCACGTTATGTTTCTTTGAGGCAATAAACCTATTCAAGATCTAATATAGAGTGCTCCNGACAGAGCAGACCCCAAGAAGTTTCATCTCAGTGAATACTGTGTATTCCGAGAAAAAAAAAGGATTCAATTTCAGATCTAACGTTTCTGAGTGATGTTTTGAAAAATACCTCAGTTCAGTGTCTGAGACACGTGTGCTACACGTTGATTGCTTTTGGATAAGTGTGAAATGTTGCCTTTAACTTTCAATGTTTTGGTCACAATATCGCTGTCTGATTTTATTTCACGTTGAGACTGTTTCAACACATTCCTACAGGCAAAGTTACATAAATCATAACAGATATTATAATTCCGTCTTACGTTGCATCTCAATATTTTTCAGGATAAGCAATTCACAAACGAACAAGGTTAATTCGCAAAATGCCCGTCGAAGTCATGTCCTGACAACCAGTCCACGAGAGGTAAAAGAAACAACATTTCATAAAATTATAAATCAGTTAACACAACAAAACAGTTTATGTTATCCGACGTATTAACTCATTCTTTACAAGTAACCATGTACATGTAATTATCAGAGTATTTCTTACCAGGGAAGAAACCGAAAGCGATTTGGGTGATGGCCGTTAGAAGATCCATCCAGCTGAAAGCGGATACCAGTTCGTCAGCTCCAAGCAGTTCCCGGGTATAAATGTCACTAAGTGAGGCTTGCGCACCAATGAAGCCGTTGAAGATTGTGGCGTTGAAAATCATCAACCAGTAGGAGTTCACCCACTGAAGTGTGGATAGAGCCAAGCTGCAAGCCGTGACTGATATCAGCAGGGCATATCGAAGCTTCAGTAAGCCTCTATCCACCATCAACCCAAGAAGAATCTTAATAACCAGGTTCCCTATCCCTGCGGCCGTGGTGAACGTCACAGCCTCGTACCCAGAGAAACCTTTAGACTCGGCATAAGCGACGAAATATACTAGCCACAGGCTGTCCACAAAGACATGGTTGCCGTAGACGAGCGCCGAGATCCAGAATACGCCACGGCTGCAAATTACGCAGCCAAAAAGTTTCCCCTGCACCTTAATGGCGTCTTTCAGGATACGGAGTCGGGATTTCTTCACAGTCTCATGACATTTTGATTCGTCTGCCAGTGGCTCCTTTTCACTTGAGATGATTGGTAGATAGTCGCCCCGCCCCTCTGCTAATGGTGGTGGGGGTCTCAGCAGGAAGCCACACACACCAAGATGCATGCTTATAGCCCCAAGCAGTAGCAAGGCACCTTGCCTGCCGTAGGTGTCTAAAAGCACTTGAGTCAACGGGGCAAAGGAAATCAAGCCCACTCCGGATCCTGCCGTCGCAATGCCATTCACCGTTGCGTAGCTTGTGGTGAAATAACGACCTGTCATGGCTCTTGACAAAATATTGGTTATCATCAAACCAGGCCCTGTAGATTAAAACAAGAACATAAGGCAATAAACCTTTTCAAAGATGTACCGGTACTGAACCCATTCAATTCGCTGCTTTCTGCACTTGAGAAATCTGAAAAACCAGATCCCTTTCACTTTGGAATTTGCACGTCGTATTGGACAACCCCAAACACAACTAAAGACAATTTCTTTAGGTAGTACTTCAAGCTATGGCCAAACTCAATGGTTAGCTATGCTAGTACAGTATGCATGTAACATCGGTGCGTGTTTTTACAAAATGCACAGGTTGGCTCCAAGAACACTAGCAATGTAATTAATGCTACTACCAAACGGCTATCTCGTGCACCAAGGAAATTTACGATTATAAAATCTTTCTACGCAGCACTAAACATTCCACTTAAATTAGAAACTAATAGCAAACACAATTCAACTGGATCTTCTAAAGAAAAATATAACAAAGTAAGAAAACCTGAGAGAAAAATAATCCTCCAAGTCGCACCCCTGTGCATTCCCAATGGCCTGCTCACACTTCTTGCCGCCAAGAGCATTTTGTGTGCATGCGTGCATAATTATGGTCTATGACAGGTCGTTCATAGGCACAACACTTTTGCATAAGTTCAAGCATTCAGAAAACGTTTTGAAGAAAGCCCACTTACCTCAAGGCCTTTGGAGCATTTTTTTTTCAGTTTCAATCGAGCTACCCTTGTTCATTGTCTTTTAATCTGATCTTTACCACATTTCCACGTTGCCTACGATTCCCATAGGGCATATTGTTACTGAAATCTCGTAGAATTATTTTCATGGGATTTGTTCACTCCGTACTGTAATAATAACAATAACAGCCAGCGGGGCTTCCTTCTCCATGGGTCTGATTCCAAATGCTAGACTTCATAGAACAAACTATCTATCGTTCAGGTTTTGTTAGTTAAGTTACTGTTAACTACTGTCCCTCCAACGTGCCCTCGTTTGTCGTGCAAAATTATCGACGTCCATTTTGTGTTAAGTAGTTCGAGTGACGACTATAGTTAACAATAGTTTCACAAACACTGCTTAATAAGACAAATGGTTCCGAACAATTGGGCATGGCTGATTCCAACAGCCGATTCCATTTGGACCATTTACATGAAATATATTGTGTATGCTGCCATTGGCTATATTGCTGTGAGGGTTTAACAAATACAGAGCAGTAAACTTAGGTATATTAACGAAAGGTGAGTAACTGATCAAGGCTAATCAACTTGCTTTTACTCGGAATGAAAAAAAAAAAGTACCGGCGATTAAGGATAGAGCCAGTGTCATCTGGATAGCGCTGGTCGAGAAGGACGAGACGATGACAGACGTCCCTAAGAGGAATCCGCAGACTGTGACCACGATACGGGTACCAAATAACACCTCCAATGGCCTAGATAACGGACCTGCATAGGATATGATAACAACCTAATCAGAACTTGGATAAGGAAACAGGAGAAGCTGTCTTGTTGGGTCTTTCATGTGCATAGTGCAGTCCCTTCCTATCCTGGACCTTGCACAATCAAGGCACTGATCGTGTTCCTGTAAAGCTGCACTGTAAATTTCCAATTTCTGTGCTAGTTCAATTTAACACCACGGGGTTTAATTTCAACACCAAGGAGGGATAGTCATCACACGTTTAGAAGTATAAAAGTACGCAGTTCTGCACCGGGCCCATTCCCTGTTTAAATAAATTACCCCCCAAAAAGTACAAAAAGTGTCGGCTCCGACTGCGCACGCGTTGTGTTGACATACTGGATGCAGTCTTCTTAACAAGAAACAATCACCTGTGCAATGTTTGTCCCCATAAATTATCCTCCCTGTAATACGTCCCGTTCCCATCAGATCGAAAGTGTTTTCCCTTATCTGACCTCCATTTTGTTGGTATAGGCGGCCAATCAGATAGTTCATCCCTTGTTGCTAACAACCTTGTTTCATAATGCACCGTTTGCCTCATTGTGTTAAAATTGAGGCCAAGCATTTTCTTGTAGTAAATGAAGGTAAATACTGGGTAAATAAGACTAACAGTTTTGTTATTCACACCATATTCTTTATACTTTGTGAACTATTCGGTAGGTTCATTAAATACTAAAGCAGATCTTAATGGTGGAGTCTTGTATCATTTATACTATTACTTTTGCCCGCGGGATGCATTGTAAGTATGACAAGACGAACACACTTTTTGTTGAAAAGAAAAAGAAGTTGGGATGGCTAACAATCAAACAGTAGTAGTTAAATTCGCATTTCAGTATTAAATTCCTGTACTGTGCACCGACTCATTTCCACAGCCCCATGTTCGGCGGCGCGTCAAGATCTGTGACCACCCTTATATATGATGCATGTCTTGTACACAAACAGTACAAGCAATGTTTAAACCTGATCGGACATGCACATCAGAGGAAAAACAAATGTATCTAAATTTAATAATAAATCCCACAGTGACGTCTTCATGATGTCATGCTATCAGACACATCTTTGCTGTAGGTTCTTTGCTTTAAGTAACTTTGATGAAGATATGAATAAGGAAGAGAAGACAAGAGTTACACTGTTCCCAACAAAACATACGGCATTTTGGCATTTTTATAAATTTTGAAAAAATGCACTTGACAAAAACAATATTATATGCATAGTTGCTAGCAGACAATAGTTGATAAACAGAACAAATCATTGGACAAACTTCAAAGCCAATTTGGATCCATCAGACTTCGCTTTCTAGTTACCTGCAAAATTTTAACTCAGTTGGAATTTTACTTCAGGAGATATAGGGCTTTGCATTTTGCACCTTAAATGCTATGTCACTTGACACCTGATGATATCATTATGACGATTTTGTTTTTGGACCCTTTCTAGCTTGTGCACTAAGAGTGTGCACCATTATGTAGTCAGTCAGATCGATAAAAGTGCCAAAGTCCGGTTGTTGCAAATTATGTACATTTATTTTCAAAACCAATTGATGACCGCGTGATCACGTCATGCTTCGAGGCATATTTTGCTATAGTGACTTTGCTTGGGGCAAGTTTGACGAAGGTTCAACCTTACAAAGTGAAAAAAAAAATTAAGATGTAGTTCACTCTACATATATGCACAAACAAAATAAAGTCTTCCGAGCACAAAGTAGGGTGTAAGATTTTTTTTTCAGATATTTATTTTTCGGAAGTTTTAGAAACGTTTGTAAGGGTACCAGAGTTTTCGAGTATTGGCCTTTACTAAAGTGCATGTATGTACCTGCAAAACTGCCAGCAGCAGTTATAGTCGCTATCAATCCACCAATCACCCACGTGTCGCTCGCGAATTGCTCTTGAAGAGTCGGCAGCAGCACCCCTAGACCTTTGAGGAGTCCTGTCCAAAGCAGCCAATTGACGTGGAGACAGAGGACGGCATACCAGCCCGCGTTACCACAACCTGCGACGCACTGAGCATTCATTTTCAAGACTTGAATCACAACTGTGTCATTGTCAAGGGTAGAATTAAATCAAATTGCAAATTGATTAAAAGATTTAATTGCAGGCTTTCTCTTTACACCGACGTATACTCATAGAAACTCTATACTCAATGCCCACTGGAGTCGCTCGGTAGTCGAGTGGTTAAAACTACTAAGCATAAGTTCGTGGGAGGTATTGTAAGTTTTTTGTTAATTTTATTGCCCGTCATAAAGTCGATTATCATTATTTTAGAGTGGTTAATTTTTAAACACTTATGTGTCTATATCCTGATTGCAAATTGTAGTTTTTGTGAACTTTTTATAGTAATAATTTATTCCTTGGAAACGCTTGGGCATCAGTGGAAAACAGTTTATGCTGCGCTGATTTAACCTAGGGAGGAATAGACAGCCCGACAGCCAGTCAGTCCGACAGACAGAAAGACGGACTGACCGACTGGCCGACGCCCCGACTGACGGATGGATTACGGGAATTGCCTGTGGAAAAAATTCCCGTTACATCAAACTCCAATCTCTGTTCGCAGCGACCTGAGGGGTGATAACTGGTTGCGGCAAAATTGCACAGTACAAAATTCCTTTAACAATGATGAATTAACAATGGCTTTACCGCGTACAATACGTTCAAAGGAACTGAAAGGAAAATTTGTCAATTCTAAATGAAATTCTTGTCAGTTAATCCGCCTATCACAGAATATAAAAATCATATCATATTAAAGTGCAAATTGGTTGGACTATGTACGGTCGCTTATCGCCCCATTAATTACCAACCTCGACCAGCCACCAACTAATAACACCATACAACTGACGCATTCCAGTCATCCGCGCCAAGTGCACACCACTGAAGCAAATCACACAGAGGAAACGATGATCCTTTTTACTATTGACGTGTTTCAGTTTGAAACTTCTGAGAAAATCCATTAATGCGACCACACCCAATTACTGAGCCCCTTTACAATTTCAAAAGAAAGAACAATAACAGAAAACAAACTGTACCTTGTTCCTTTATACTGATATGAATTTTTCAAACATGCCAGGTTGAACGACTGTGATAGTCTCTTAGAAATAAAATCAATTTATTCTAGCCCCATGTGCAAAATGGTCGAAACATGATTAATCCTCCGTTAAGGGCCACTTGGGATTAACTGCGCAACATCTCGCTACAACACAGAATTATTCATGTCGCATAGGGTTCTGGCTAAAAGAACTGGCCCGCCTGCCATTGAGCTTGTGCCCTTGTATGACGTATTGGTAGACATAACTGTCAAGTCATGTATAGGTATGAGTTTACACTCAGGCAAACTAGTTCTCATGTGGCGCGCTGAAGGTCGTGCGAAATTATTTGAAAATTCCAGTACCTCCGTGTCTTTCCCACCAACCCCCCCCCCTCTGTTGCACACTTAACATTGCAAAGCAAACGGATAGTGAAACTGAAATATATCTGTCTTATGAAGGGCCGTCACTGAGCGTCAGCCTTTGCGTTTTTGTGGGTACGTTAAGTTTGTCCTGAGCAACATATCACAATCTATTGTCT